ATTTGATTCTGTCATTAAAATTGAAGCCTCTTTTTTGTGAGAATCAAGAATTATAATTATTGGATTCTGCAGGTTTACTCAAATGTAAGTGGAGAACCTCCATTGGAAAAACCTACAATTGATGTGAGCTCTAAAGAATTCTATGGCGAGGGATATGATGATAGTGACAAGAGAATTCCTGACATGACCATAATCAATAAACAGCTTGGTAGGTTTCCCATTTCTTCTCCTTATTCTCAAATTATCTTGCATCTGTTAATGGGGTGTTGCCTCCTCTCTCAGGCTGGAATCCCAAGACCTCGCTTTGGGACCTTCTTGAATCAACCCTCACCTATCAGCACAGGACATATGCTGAAGCTATTAAAAAAGTCATGGCAAAGCCAGTTGCAAGTTAGGCATGGTATTGTGCTGCCCCGGACATGGCTATTCTGCCTGCTCGTTCTTGCCAATCAACTCGACTTTACATACATCTTAAAGGTTCATTTTGCTGCATATACGTTAATTTTTTCCCCCTGCTTACGTTAGCCGCCCATGCCTATTGCAAATTCATACAAAGGACAGAAATTTGTTGAGGCAATCCTTGTCACCATTAAGTAATTTTCATGTAGAGCTTTGGGCTACCAGACTTGTTGGAGGTCTTTTTACGAGAATTATTATTATTATCATTATTTTTTTAGGGCTCTGCCAGTCCCCCGATTTGATTGCCCCTCATGTTCAGACAGATACTCTTACTTTGTTTGCCCCCGCCGAGGCATTTGTGTTCTAAATTATTTATTATTAACTTGTGATATAGTTGGTGTTTCGTAATGTCTGGGGTCATAATCTGAAAGTTTGGGTCGTAGCAGAGTATTTACAAAGTGAATGTATCTCAAAAACTCAAAAACCAGAGAAAAGAATACCTTCTCCAGAATTTCCAGATTCTACCTAATGCACCTCTAATTAAGTTATCATGTTGGGTCTTAAAAGGCGTATTGTTAACAACTATATGAGTTTTCAGGGGCCAAAAAAAAAAAAAGAAAAGAAAAAAAGAGCGTCTTGAGGAATACTGTTTGATAATATGGGGTTTAAAAAAAAAATTTTAAAGGAAAAATTATTCCGAAAAGGAGGGTTGTGCGTTTCAACAGCCTTCCAGTACTACGCTGTGTTTAACTCGTGGGCCTGGAAAAAGCTTTTGGTACTGAAGCCCAGACCTAGTTGATGCTCGATCATTAAGAACTAGCGAGATCTGGTGAGGTAGGAGGTGTCTAGATCAGTTTTATTGGAAGTAGCTTTACGGTATTTAAAATAAATATATGTGAGAAGAGTCTTGAATTGTGTGAAAGTACGTTTTTTTAAATACTTTTAGGGTTTCCAAGCTCTCCCGTAATATCATACATATTTTATATGGGGCTAACTCTGGCTTGTGCAATACGCATGGATGCAGAGGTTGTGACATCTCGATTGTAAAAGCCTCATGAATGGCCACTGGGCATGGCGCCCTCATACTCTGATTTTGGGTTTCCTTTTTGTTCCAATCTCCTCCTTGCATTAAAACCAGATCAATTCAGCTCTTAGCACATGGGAGGCGTTTGATTCTTGGAATTTTTCCATGTTCCACCATATAATCTCATATTAATCTATGGCTTGGAGTCCAACTAAATGAATGATTATTATGAACCAGTGGTTTTTTATAAGATTCCAGCAAAAACGATCCGGGTTGCTTCTCGTGTCAACTTATCTAAATCATTGAATGTGACGAGGGAACCCTTATTGTTTAATCAAACTAATTCGGTCATATTTAAACTTTAATTAGAGTGATTGTCTTTTTTTATAATAAGTACGTGTTACTGTTGTCGTATTGTTTGTATTTGTATTATTGCTATTAGAGGTCAATTGGTTCGTTGCCCCAAAAAAAAAAAAAGAAGCCAGTTGGCTCGGAGACTTTTACATTCCTATGAATGATTACAAAGATGTGACTTTTGCGGGTCATATTTCTAGAGAAATCTTGCTACTTGGAATAGAAATTCAATGGCTCTATGCTGCTTGTTCATATTGATTTCTACTATACCACAAATGTTTAATTTTAACAAACACACACATTATGTTCTGCGCCGGAATCATGTGGTTGCTACGAGAAATTCCGATCCCATCTAATCCATCCCCATGCTCGAACGAAAAAAACCGGATGCGAGAGGCTTTTTGATTCGCTTAGAACCTTGCCCAAACAATTAGTGTGCATTGTTGTTTCGAGCACTTCACAATTATGCAGTCAGACTTAATAAGATCGCATCTGTAAAGAAAGATGAATCACAAAATTATCAGAGAGATGTCAAGGTCGAGGGGAAAAAAAAAAAAGAGATGTCAAGGACGGGAAAAAAAAAAGGCATGAGGAAAATGTCTGTGAGCTTAAATTTCAAATCAAAATTGACAATGTGCAATAGTATGGCTTATTTATGATCGTTGCTCATGCTCATTCCTCCCACCTTCATCAGTATTTAGGCATTTCATTAGAGTGTGGTTAAGACGATCCTTACCTGCTTCTCATTCTGACAAATACCCCTTAATAAATTGATGCGACCATTTGTGACCAATTATTTGCGGCCATCTCCTTTATTTGTATTTGGGGTCCCCCACCATTCCAAATTTTCTGGTTATTTCCAAGAATTGACTATGCAACTGCCTCGCTGGACTTTGTGTTGTCTGTTTCTTTCTTTCTTTGTTTTCATATGATAGTCAGTGTCAATGTGCGTCATTTGAAATAGACGGATAACGATATAAGTAAGAAGACAATCCATCCATATTTAAAGAAAGATGCTTTCTTTTGTGTTTTGGAAGCGTTTTTCCAGGTTCCATCTCATGTTTTCTTCTTAGGATTCTGTATTTGGGTAGGGATGACGAATTGTAAATGAACTGAGGCCTCTATTGTGCTCTTTGTAAAGTAATAGCTCAATCTCTAGTGCGCCAGATTTTTCAATTATTATATGTGCATCAATATAATATCATACATATGATATGCGTCATTATGAGCAAGCTCCATCTCAATAATGGCTGACCACTTCTCCTATTGATATCTAATTAATTAACAGCCATCACTCCATAGTAGTTGTGGTCCTGTGCGATTCATTTGTAGTAGCACCGAAGGGATGCCTTGTCTTTGAAGGATTGCCCCAACAAGTAAAACAAGTAAAACTTATGCTTTATTGGATGCAAAAAAAAAGTAAAACTAATGTTAGTGCGTAACTGTCGTTTTCTTTTTTGCCCTTTACCCTTTTTTTTTTTTTTGGTTGAAGCCCTTTATATATGTTTGAGTCTATTAATTTTATCCCTGACAATTTTATAAATACAAGTAGTGATTAATATTCTTCAGCATGCCCATTACAATGCTCACGAAGCCAGTCGACTGTCTTGTTAACTAGTCACGAAACTGGACAAACAACAAGACTTGAAACATCAGAGACAATATTAATGGTTAGAAGTTGTCCATTCATCCCAAGATTTACCACTTACTGCCTCCTCTGGAGGTAGATAAATAGTCGGACTCAGATTCCAAGATAACTCTCACTGCAATCCCACACTCATACTAGAAGGAAGAGCAAATCGGTATACATGCTAAGCGCGACTGTTTTCCGTGTTGCAAATTGCAATTCATGCGGCATGGTATGTTTAAGGATGCTTTGACTTTCCACCAAGAATTCTTAGTCAGTGTTTAGATTTGTCCTAGAATTGTAGGTGATTTAAAAGTTAAACAAAAACATTTCTTCATTAGTAGAAATGTGTATACCAAGGTGCTAGGTATGAGATAGCGTGTTTTATATTGAGTTTACACATTGACTTTTGGTTTACGCGTGTTACATTATTACATACTTCATAAAAAGCATCTCATTTTTTTATGCATTTTTATCTTTCTACTTTAATTTGAACGCAATATAGTTGATCCCGAGAGAGAAAAGTAAGGTGCAAGAAAAGAATAACCTTTATTTTCATCTTTTACCCTGCCCATGTTGGAGTATGATTGTATAAGGGGAGTAACATTGACTGAGAAAATAATTACAGTAATTTTTTGTATCGAGATAGGAGATTATGCTCGCATCTATGTCAATTTTTGTTTGCCTTTTCTCTGACTTTTGCCTTTTGAGGTCAGTCTGTCTGTGTCATCTCACGAAGAAGAAGATGGCCCCTCCCTCCATTGAACCCCCCGACACAATTATATATATGCCAGCCACCTTAATTAACTTAATCATCAACCTAACTTGACTTAAGTTTTCTTACAGGTAAATCCATATTTACATGCATCTTTTTATTTTTCATTTGGGAATGCTATTAATTAAAGTCTCATTTGGGGTAGGCAAAGTCAAATTGAAGACATCATCTCTCAAACCAAACTCACTCGCCTGTCCTACTATTAAAATCATAGTTTTTTTGGCCTGAACTATTAAAATCATAGTTAGTACACACATATTCGTTTCTTCACGAAGTTGGTATCTCAAAATATGTGTTGAATTTGAAATATACCCACCAAATCTTTTGATCATGTTGTTAACTAGGACAATGCAAATATTCCTTTGCATTAAATTATTAAGAATAGACTTCATGAACGGAAAAAAAAAATCAAGGTTCTGGTCTTCTAAGAATGAGGGAAAAAATGCATGATTAGGTGAGGTTGGTATCTCTGCATTTCCTTTACCATTCAATTGAGTTAAATGTATTGAAAAGAAAATGGATTCTGCATCCAAATTCAGTTTTATGAGCTTTTACTTTCATCGATCTTTCGAAAATTCTCTGGCAGAGACATTGAACATAACTGGAAAGTTAAAGTGAATCCACTGTTTAAAAAGGAGTTATTACAAGTCATTTGATGACAGGGTTTAATTATTTAAAGTAATTAATATAATAATAATATGTCCATACTCTAGTATTTAATTTCATTAATTACAATGCGTAAGAGGGCCTCCCTCTTGGATCAGAGCAGAGCCAAATGGCCGGAACCGCAAGGCCTCTGTGAAGGGGAGTCTTCTTCATTAATCAAACGCGAAAACACGCGTGTTGTCGCTGGACCACGATCCTTGCGGGCAAAGGATGTTCCACACACAATCCAAAGGAATGTTATAGTAATATTTTTTGAAAAATACAAAGTAAGGAAAAAGGAAAAAACCGAGGGAAAGCGTTATGACGACGAGGGGACAAAAATGATTTCCACACACTGTTTCCTGTCATTGGCAGTGTTCTTCTATAAGCCGGCTAAAGCTCCTGACGGTTCTCTGGACGCTCTTTCCTCTCTGTCCGTCCTTGGCTCTTTCTACTATGCTTTTGTTTCTCTTCACGTATCATATACATGACCTTTCCTTCATTCGACCGTCTCCTGTATCGCGATCTGCGCTTCATTTTCTGTTTAGCAGGCTAATTTTATTCAATTTTGCATTTCCCCCCCTTCTTTCTGCTCTATTTTGGTGGGGGACTTTGTTTGGAATTTGGGATTGAAGGTGGAAGTTTTACTGGGCCATTCAGTTCGTCTTTTAATTAATAAGGGGGTTCCTGATTAGCTGTAAAGACCCACTGTTCCTGCACGACCTTATTTGACTCAGTGGGACTTCCATTCTTGTTCTGTTCCTTCCGTGCCTTCGCATAATTCAATTCTTTATCCTTTTCCCTTTATCTTTTCTATTCCCTCGAATTGAAAAGGCAGCAATTTCAGGTCTCCCCCTACAAAATGTTGTTGGGTTGGTATAGTAACTGAGCGGAAAACGAGAGTCTTTCCTTCCCTCAATCATGGCTCCATCTGGGAAGGTTTCTGGGTTTCGTCGCGAAGGCAATGACTGGTACTCCCACTCCCGATAGCTCTTTTCTTTTATTTGGTCCTTTTTAAGCTCGAGTTGTGTTATGGAGTCCCGAAATTCACTGCCTTTCGGTGCTCGGGGTGCATGATCCTTTGAAATCCGAATCAGGGCCTGAATTACATTTTGGCTTTGTTGGAGCTGGTTACTACGTGGGACTAGCAGGATGATAACTTATTCTGTTCATCCCCCCTCTCGGGTAAGGTTTAGTGATGTATTTGTAATGATTTTCGTGGTTTTGGTAGGTTCTGCAATGCCGGACTGCCTAGCGATATCACGGTTTCAGTCAGGGAAGCTACTTTCCATCTTCATAAGGTACTCCTTCCTTGAGCGAATTTCTGCCATCCTTTATCAATAATTGTTCTTTATTTATTGGTCCCTTGTCTCTGCCCAGAAATGCCTTCATCTTATCATATTGGCCAGAGGCATTTGTGGTGTTAGATATTCCTCCCAATTTCTCTTGTTCTCCGTGGTTCTCTTCGAAGTTTGGTCTAACACCGTCAATGGGTTCTGGTTTAACGTTTTTGTTTTGGGGCTCGGCTTATACTGTTGTAGCTGATTTTCTATATTTGCTTTCAAATAGGATTAAGGGTCCATGTTTAACAAAAGGGGTTTGGATAAGACTAATACTAGGAATACTGCCAGTTGCTGAGATCACACATTTCGCAAGATTAACTGTGTATTTCCCTGACTTAGTCCAATACCCCTGGTTTATCTGTGGCAATGCCTTCTTCGTACCATGCTAAAACCAAGTTTTATGGTTCTGGAAGGCGGCCCTTTACTATTAAAATGCCTGCAGGCTGGCTTAGGTTGAGAAGAGGAAGTGAGAAATCTACCATAATGATGGATTTTTCTTTTTCGGCTTGTTTGACGTTTAAGGTGCTACTCAAGTTCACTTGAATACTATTGGATCTAGTGAGCAGTATACCTTCCTTCATGCAAATTTATGAATACTAATACAAAGATAGATGTTAAAGTTCCAATTAGCGATGAAGCAACAAGTTCTGCTGAACTTGTGACTTTGTTAACTAAGAGATAATAACTTTAAAAATGATTAATTTACTTGATACGTTGACCCAAATAAAAAAAAAACTTGATACACTGTTTCGAAAGTTAATAGCTGCTACATGATTTGCGCTGCCCTCAGTTGAGGAAATGATATATTATGAAATTCCTATTTCTGCTTAATTAGTTGAAGTTAATTAAATCGTCTCTCCCATCAGAACCAAAAGGTACAACTTTATGATATATCTGGCATAGTTTCCAGGTAGAAATGTTTGTTGACTTTATGCATCAATGCACTGTAGACTTGGAGTGCATATCCACTCACAAATCTTAGTCTTATGGTAGTCATGCCTTGACTATAAAAAATTACAAGTTGTTCTATTATACCAGAGTTCAAGACATTCTATGTCCATGGTATTGCAGTTCCCTCTTGTATCAAAATGTGGAAAGGTTGCTCAGGCATATGAAGAGTCAAAGAATACCAATCAGAAGACAATGAATATGGTGCTGGAACAATTTCCTGGTGGCTCTGACATTTTCTTAATTGTGGTAAAATTCTGTTATGGAATTCGAATAGAACTGACAGCCAGAAATGTATTGGTGGTCCACTGTGCTGCAGACTACCTTCAAATGACAGATGAATACGGAGAAGGAAACTTGGTCTCAAAATCAGAGAGTTTTTTCCATAAAAATGTATTACACAACTGGAAAGATTGTATTTTGGCTCTTCAAAGTTCTGAGCCTGTTCTACCAAGGGCTGAAAATCTCCATTTAGTTGAAAAATGCTTAAATGCTCTATCTATGATGGTTTGTACAGATCCAAGTTTGTTTGGATGGCCCATGATGATGTATGGGAGTTTACAGAGCCCTGGTGGAAGTATTTTATGGAATGGCATAAATACAGGTGCAAAAATTCGGTGCTCAGATTCTGACTGGTGGTTTGAAGACATCTCATATCTCAGCGTGAGTTTGTTTGAGAGACTTATTAAGACAATGCAAGCAAGAGGCATAAGACCTGAAAGCCTGGCAGGGGCCATAATGTATTACTGTAGAAAGTACCTACCAGGTCTGGGTCGGTGGCAGGGGGGACAAGGTGGTAAAACAAGAACAGTTGCAAGCTTCAGCTTGACACCTGCTGCCGTTGATCAGAGAGTTCTGTTGGAAAGCGTTGAGAAACTTCTTCCTGAAAAGAAGGGAAGTTCATTTTGCCGTTTCTTATTGGGACTTCTTCGTGTGGCTCTGATTTTGAATGTTGGTCAAGCCTGCAAGGATTCTTTAGAGAGAAGAATAGGGATGCAGTTGGAATTGGCAACTCTAGATAGTCTTCTCATTCCTACTTATTCAGACTCCGATACATTGTATGACACAGATTGTATTGGACGAATTGTGCGTCATTTTGTAAATTCAGAATCCGGCATAACTGCCTTTTCTCCGTCTTCCGTTGATCTTCAAGCATCATCAGCATCTGAATCATTAAGTAAAGTTGCAAAGCTGATGGATAACTATATTGCTGAAGTTGCTTCTGATGTGAATTTGAAACCAGGAAAGATACGCTCTCTTGCAGAGGCCCTTCCCGAGTCATCAAGATCATTGCATGATGGACTCTACAGGGCACTGGATATATATTTCAAGGTTTGATTTTTCTTGAGATGCTCTTTAAATCAAGGCTTCTTTATGGTCATGGTTTTGGTGACTTGATGATTGCTCATGATATTGTGCAGGCACATCCTTGGCTGTCTGATAAAGAGAAGGAAGAACTCTGCAACATCATTGACTACCAGAAGCTCTCCATTCACGCTTGTGCCCATGCATCCCAAAACGATAGGTTACCACTCAGAGTTGTTCTTCAAGTCTTGTTCTTTGAGCAGCTGCAGTTGAGAACAGCATTGGCTGGCTGTCTTCATGCATTGGATGCCGAAATTGCCCCTGCAGCTCCTATAACGGTCCCTGGTGATACAGCGGGCCAACTTGTACAAAGGGACGGATGGGTGACTCTAGTGCGTGAAAATCAAGGGTTAAAGGTTGATATGGAAAGAATGAGATCTAGAGTTGGTGAGCTGGAAGAAGAATTTGGTAAAATAAAGCAGGAAATGAAGAGTGTGACCAAATCACATGGTTCTCTCAGTTCTCCTCGTTTGGTTGCTCGAGAAATAGGATGTAAGCTTGTTCCAAGACCGTCAGACGCTCAACCAGAATCTCTTAACCGAAATGGATCCACACCAAGAGCATCCACTGAGCAGGCATCACATTCTCATCAGTCCAAAGTCAGACACAGAAAGAGTTTCTCTTGGTTTAAGTGGTACATAGAAATCAGGGTCCCTCTATATATATGCACAGCAGTGGTGTGTGGTTTTAAAAATATTTGTACGAGGGAAAGGGAAGGAAAATGTTTTCCTCAGTTAGTCCATTGTTCTTTTTTTTTTCTCAAAGAAATATTACATCTTTGGACATTTTCCATTTCTTTCCCTCGTCTAAAGTTTCATAGAGGCAACAGTACAGAATAGCATACTTTCCTGATAGCGTTCTTCCTCTTGGCTAGTCTCGGGGAATGCCTGCAGAATTCATCATTTGGCTTGACTCTTAATGTTGAAGTTCTAGATTTTTTGGTCCTCGTCTTTTCGATGGTGAGTGGCACTGTTACCATGGAAGCACAGAATCAAGCATGTAAATTTACCAAAGAAGGGAAGCTGGCGCAGGAAGATTTTTGCTGGCAAAGGAATATACCGTGAGATTAGCAATGAATGATGTTTTGTACAATAACTTGTATATGAGTCGGTGGATAAATATGATATTGGTTTTCCCTTTTCAGTTGAGGTTCTAATTCTAGATTCCCGCGAGGCTTATTCAGTGTTACGTTGTAAAAATTTCAAAAAATATGTCATTTTAAGATATTATAATAGTTTTCTTTTCATGTTATGCGCGTGGTATAATACTCTTCTGATTTTTAATATAAAATTTATTTAACTAATTTGATTAGATTAAAAAAGTTAGTTAAGTTAGTTTTTTTTTCGGTGACAAAAGTTAGTTAAGTTAGTTAATTATAAGAAATATGACATGTTTTTCTTAAAATACTATAATCATTTTCTTTAATATCCTTTCTCTCTCTTTTACTTGATTATGGTTGAGAAAATATTCATATGCGTAATTTAGAAAAAATTGATAAATACAAGAAATAGATTTTATATTTAAGACAAAAATTAACTCAACAATTAAGTTTTATATTAAGAAAGATGAGTACTTTAGAACTTGAAACGGTTAAAAGGATCAAATTCAAAAGACTTTTAGGGCTTAATTACATGAAACATTCAATTATTATGTGTTTATGAAAAGTAATATCTAAGTTTCTGTCCTTAATGACAAGGTTAAATTTCGAACAAATTTTTTAAATTTTGAGATATGCGCAAATAATATTTTAATATTTCAAAATTTATTTTTCAAATTTTTTTAGGATATTTGTATATATTTTTTAATCAATAAATTACTTGTTTTATTGATTAACTTAAGTGAATGATAATTGTTACTCCCTCCGGTTCAAAATATAAGCTAAACTTTTTTAAAGGAGTTGATTTTTTTGTAAGATAACATTCACTTTTGTCCAAGTATTTAATGAGCTTTTTCCAATTTTACCCTGTATATTTTTTTTCCTCTTTAATTCACTTATTACATTTTTTTACTTATTCTCTTTATTAATAAGGGTATATTAGGAAAAACAAATACATGCCTTACACATTTATTGTTTTAAATTGATTTTGATTGATTTCTTGATAAATCGTAAATAAATAAAGTTTAGTTCAAATTAGAAGGAGTAAATTCGAGGATTCATATTTGTGAAGGTCTTTTGTTTAGGTTATGAGTTGTTTGGAATAAAAGGGTTATGAATCATCTTTAGCAATGAGTCTAGAACACCGGATTGTATTATTCGGATAGCTCATAGTTTAGCGCATCATACCACTATGGCAGCAGAGGTTCTTAACTCTATAAACACTACTGCCTAGTCTGGTTGTACTTTCCCTCTGTAAATATTGGTTTTAATATATTTCCCCTTTTACTCAAAACAAGGGTTATGGGTTGTTTGGTTTGTGTTCGTTATGCATCCGAAATTTATTCCCTTGTCTCTACCCTCTTGATCTATTTTGGTTCAGCTCGCGGCAAAAAGGCCCAAAAAACCTAGCTACATCGTACCTTGACTGTGAAAAATATAAATTTTTATTTCAGGAGCTGCTTCCCGAAGCACAGGGCTCCCGCCGTCCCGGGTTCCCACTTCAATCTCCCTCTCAGCCGTTTTTCGTACTTCTGTATCTCATCTCAACTCCAATATCATTGTCCTTCGTGGGAACTCCGGCCATATTAACACTGTAACAAACATGGCGGTTTGTTCATCGACCATCAATATCTCAAACGTCCACAACTTTTCAAACGCATGCGCTTCCGCTGGGCAATATGCTTTCAAACTTCCACTTGAAATCAAAAGTTGTGGTTGTTTGAATATCACAAACTTGGATCAAAGGAGCCACATGCCCTCGTCTCTTTCCATTCATTCACCTGACAGAAGACGTGTTTTAAGCATTCGATATATCGGATCAGAAGCCGTGACGAAGACCACCACTGAGCTGGATGAGTCCAAACGTGGTAATGGCTCTGAACCCTTAATTGATCTGGATGGTGGGGATGGAGGTGGTGCTGGTGACGGTAATGGGGGGAGTGGCGGCGGCGGCGGCGGTAATGGGGACGATGGGAGAGATGAAGATGAGGAAGAGTTTGGTCCGCTATTGAAGTTTGTGGAGGTTATGAAAGTCGCAGAAGCTCGGGGTGTGAAGCTGCCTTCGGATATGACGGAGGCAGCGAAGACGACAGGAATACGGGAAATGTTCCTTCTCCGTTACTTGGATTTACAGGTCAATTCTTGATTGTTTTCATTCTTTCTAGTTGATGAAGCTGAAGTTCACTTTTTGGGCTTCTTCCCGTCGTGGATTTCTTCCGTATTAGGCTCCAGCTTGCTTGTATCAAAGAGGGAGGATTAATCATGATCAACTTACAAGATCGTTTTGGCGTTCAAATTGCAGGGTTCGGTTTGGCCTCTGGGTTTTTTGATGAAGCATTGTTCTATGCTTCGAAACCGAATGCTAGCTGATCCTTCTTTTCTATTTAAAGTTGGAACAGAGGTTTGTTTCCGAGAACTTAGAAGACGTTCTCTGAAGAAATCGTTGTGGCATTCTGCAAGATATACTTTATGTTAAACACGCAACGCATGTTATTTCTTGTTTGCCATATGCAGATTGCTATAGATTCTTGTTGTGCAACATTTGCGGAGGTTCAGAAAAGAGGCAAGGATTTTTGGGCAGAATTTGAGTTGTATGCGGCCGATCTACTGGTTGGTGTGGTTGTTGACATTGCTTTAGTTGGCATGTTAGCACCCTATGCTCGACTTGGGCAGCCATCAATGTCGAGAGGTTTGCTTGGACGCATTCAACATGCTTGCGCTGCTCTTCCTAGCAGGTTAGTGTTTGCACACATGATGAATCATCGTACAGCTCTTTTAGTTAGTCTTACTCCTTTTCCATTTTACATCTGGTACCTTTCGAAGAAGTATTGCATATAAAATAGCTTCTGCTTAGGATTCCCTGCCGGTATAACATCACCAGTTCTTATTTATATTAATTAATGTAGTGATTCGTTTGTTCTGTAAAAGTGTTGTATATGGAAGCGGTGGCAAGTTATTAATTTGAGCCTTTAACTGAGGCTCTTTGCGTTAAAGTAATACTGAAGAATATTTCTGAGGACCCTCTAAGGATGCATTTCTTTCCTCTATCGGTGCACTGGTTGCTTCTTGGTTTGCTGCACAATAATTACGAACTTTTACGTTTTTGTCAAGATCCTTTTGAATTTAAGATGCTCAATTACCTCTCACATGCAGTGTTTTCGAAGCTGAAAGGCCAGGCTGTAAGTTCTCAGTGATGCAACGCATTGCAACATACTTTTATAAGGTACCTTATATTTGGTAGCTTGGGTAACAAAATAACTGTTTAATTTTGCGCGAAGTGTTGATCAAAGCAAAAGAACTTTAATAAGGTATTATATACTTCAACAAGAATATGGGTCTTGTGCTTGGCACAAAGTTTAAGCCTTAAGGTGAGCTGCATTGTTCGTGGGTTATGAATAGTGTGGCTTTCTATGAACTTTATATTATAGACAGATAAATTATGAATGCTTTTAAATTCTGTGCTCAGGGTGCATTGTATGGATCGGTTGGGTTTGGGTGTGGCCTAATTGGTCAAGGAATTGCAAATATGATAATGAATGCCAAAAGGTAAATTTCTACCTGTGTGAATGCTGTAATTATCTGTCTTACCGACTCAACCATTTGCTAATTTCATGGTAATTGTAGTTTGAACTCTATTGGATTTGAATGACAAAAGGTTGTCAAGTTTAAACTTAGAACTGGACTTGACGGGGTAGGAATTGTTCCTGAACCGTTGTCTACCTCTGTAACTTACTAACTTTTCCACTTCAAAATATTTCTTCCAATTATTAACCAATACGACGCAGCGCCCATAGCTATCAGCAAGATGTCTATAATGTAATTGTTCTTGTTTTGGATCCCACTGCTGACAACAAAGAATGAAAGATTAGATGTAATCTCAACATTATGTAAATTTACTCCTGTTTGATAAGTGCGTTTGTTTTTACAAAACAGGAGGATTAAGAAATCTGAAGAGGACATACCAGTGCCTCCTCTTGTTGAAAGTGCTGCTCTATGGGGTATGTGTTACTGTGGCTCTTTCAGGCATCTTGTACATTTTTTAGCATTGTTATAATTTGAATTCATTGTGGAGCTCTAAGTTGTGTGACGGTTGTGGATGTTACAGTTACAGGAGTTAGTGGCATCTTAAATCTTGTTAACCGGGTTCTGCTGTTATTCAGGTGTGTTTCTTGCCGTGTCATCCAACACTAGATATCAAATTGTGAATGGACTGGAAGGCATTGTTGAAGCTTCTCCTCTGGCAAAGAAGCTTCCACTCGTCGCCATGGTTTTCACTGTATGTGTGCGATTTGGCAACAACATATACGGTGGTATGCAGTTCGTCGACTGGGCCAAATGGAGTGGGGTGCAATAAGCATACGCGCTTATTTACTGCAATTCTTGAGCCTAATGGAGGATATCTATGGGCTCTGCCTCTTCCTAAAGCTTCCTTTGAGTTGAGTTCCTTTTACCGGAGCCAAAGATTGTTCCTCAAATCTGCCAGCAAGGCTGCATAATGATCATTGCTTTGAGCACTGGTCATCATTGTTGTCATTATTATTATTATTGTTAGTGTAGGACACTTGCCTACTCTAGTGGCATTCTTTTTTTTCCCCTCTGCAATAACATTTCGTGTTAGCCAGCAAATTGTATCAGATATTAAAAGCAGAAAATGAAGCTTATGAAGCTCTTTGAAATCTGCGTCTGACTTTGCCCTGTCAATATCTTTGGGCTAGTTGGTGACTGTCGTCAATGCTTCCATCAATTCTCCCCAGAACAACCGTCATCCTTTTACCAATAATGAACGTTCTGCTGACAAAATTTATCATATCATGGTCACTTCATCATGCACAAAAAGAATCGATCTTCCTGACAACGCGATCCTTTGTGTAATACCGAAGTGTGCAGTTTTTATTTTTGGACGCAGAAGGAGGCAATTTCTTTATACGTATATAAATAGAGACGGAAGGGAAAAAAAAGAAAAAGAAATGTGCCGAGCGTTTTTTCGGGGTTCTGTATGAATGATGTCGCAATTTAGATTTTAGCCCCGCCATGTCTGCAATCAATTGTAAAACTAAGAACCTAAGATGGGAAAAAGGGGAAAATAAGTTTCAGAACCAAACGACCTTATCGATTATGGGATGAGTTTGTTTAGAATAATTTATAAACAAATTAACAAATATGTGAGAAAAAATTTATTTCAATTTATATAAAATATGTTTATAAATAATTTTAAACGTGACTCCAAACTATTTCTGTTTGGATTGTAGTGGTGCTTTTAATCACTTGCCAAACTTGCTAAGGATGTAGCAAATCTCGTGTGTATAGACAATTGGCACCATAGTAGTCGATGTTTGAATCTTCCAACTGTAATGCCTTGGCCTAAAAAGACGATGTCATCATAATTCCCGAGTTCTGCAAAAATTGAGGAAACGATGTGATATAATACATTAAAAAAAATAAGTCCACGGTGACGCTCACTGTGAATTAATCAACAAAAGATTATTTTAACTAAAAATATTTTAAAAGGAAATTAAACCACCGTTAAAATTTAAGGTAAGAATTTTTAAATCAAATCCTTCATTCATTCTTAATCTCATACTTCTTTCATTGCTATTGATCAGAGGTTAAAAATTTAAGCATAGAAAAGACTAAAGTTCGATGGAAATAAAGGATTAATCGTTTCAACCTGTTTCCCCCTTTTATTTAGATTATTAACTGGAATTATATGGCAATCTATGGCAATCTGGCAGGAAAAGGGGCATTAATTTGAAGTTGACCGGATAAATACCCTTGGAGATTTAGAGTTGACACAAGAAAATAAAAAAGCTCATAATTAAAAGGAAGAAATAAATAATTTAAAAATAATTAAAGAAAGCTATAAATAGTACCTTATTCATAGAATCTGTATAATCCAAAACGCAAGTTTTTAACAGAAAAAAGCAGGAATGGGATTAAATGAAATTAAAGAGAGAGAGAAGAGAATATGATTTCAACACTATTAGGTGGAAAATGGAATGATGGAAATTGGTAATGGTAAATAAAGGTCGTCCCAGCACTGTCCGACGGCTTTTTCAATTTTCTTCAGTCCACCTTCTCCCTCCTTCTGAACTCTCTCGCTCTAGATCAAGCATTGCCTGCCATCTCTCTCTAACTGAAATCTCTCTGTGAATTCCTGTTCTTGAAATAGAGCTGATCTTCTTCAATATTCACGCAATTGCCCATTGTCTCGGATCCATTTCCTAGCCCATCTGTGCCTGTGATCTGAGATTTCACAGCCGCAGAGGGTTGCTCTCTCCGGCTGGATCTAAACGGAGATGGCGTTGTCGGGGATGAGAGGTCTCTCTGTCTTTATCAGTGACATCCGCAATTGTCAGAACAAAGAGCAGGAAAGGCTCCGGGTCGACAAAGAGCTGGGAAACGTCCGAACCCGCTTCAAAAACGAAAAGGTTAGGGTTTATCCTGCGTGCTCACGTTTTTGGGCTGTTTTTAACCAGCGACCATTCCTTCGTAATGTTGCAAAGTCAGTTTCTTTAAGCATTCGAGTTTGTTTGCTTAAATTGTGAGTTGATATTTCATTTTGGTTTTAATTTCGGTCAAAGAGTAACAGAATAAGGAATTTCGAATTTCCATTTTTTTTTCCGCGTTCGTAGTTGGCACTAATTGGAGCTAAAAGTTCCTTTGCCTCTATGTCTTATATTGACGGACATATTTCAGGTTTGAAAACTCTACTGTCATAAATATTGCTTGTTTTTATTATTTACAAAGGCTTCAACTCTACTGGGAGCTTGTTGGTGCTGCTCCTGTGACCTGCTTACTTAGCTTTCAAGTTCATTTTGCATTGCCTTTTATGGGTGATAGCATATCACGTCGAGGGCCCAGAAGCCTAGAAAAGCTTGGACTGATTAAGAGCATTATTATCGTGTCTCATGCTGCTCAACAGTCAAAATTGACATAGATCAAGTTAATGCATTCAAGGTTATGTCGTAAATAGTTGAATATGACCGATGTTGAGATAACTATGACCAGAAAGGTCTGGTGGTTCCCAAAATTCTCATGGAGTATCTGTTAGTTGAATAAATGGAGTGGGTTGTCTCCCCTATTCTGCTTTGTTCAAAACTCCCAATCAAGCCCTGAAGGCAGTCATGCTAACCCGAAACCTGTCTAGCAAGGAGTCTTTGGACTGGACAGATCAGCAACATCTCATTTTAAGCAAAAATTCTATTTTTCTGTAAATGCTTTATAGTTGCATCCCTTGCTTGGCTGAACTTTTCCACTATTTTCTACTCCTTGTGTCCCTCTTGCTGGTGGTGCCATAATGATACTCTTGGTAATCACCTTTTGACGTTTTAGTTTCCATCAATGGGGTTCATACATTTTGCTTTATTAGAGAACAATTGCTAGGATAGACTGATAGAAAGAATGTACTTCAATTCAATTAAATTATTTTAAGGATATTTTGTTTCTTCTGAACTTTGAATTTGATTTCATTGGACTATATGGTCAGTGTTGTGTAAGTTGACTAGAAACGGTAAGTAAAATAATGAATATTTTGTGACTATATATAAGAATTTTCTTGGGTTTGGTGTTTTACTTTAAGTTACAGTCTAGAATGATGTTAATTCTATTGCCATAGTAGCCATTTAGGTTTACTGTTTAGCACACTGGCAAACTCAAATGTAGGTTAAAACTGCATTCTATACTTAGGACTTGGCATTGAGATGCTACGATTGCCTTAAACGGGGCCTAAGTTTGTATATAGTTTTGTGTGTGTGCGTGCACGTGGGGGGCATATGATGGATTTTGAAGCACATGAGAGAGGTGTCTGAATGAGCTATTGGCACATGCATGTGCTCCCATAAATGAAGATGATTAATTGAGATGAGAGATTTGAGGGTTCATAATTAGTGGCTAATGCATATACTTGCATAAAGTAGAAAAGGACTGATGGAGATAACCTCAAGTCCTTTTTTTTTTTTTCCTTTGTTACCCATCTTCTATTGTTGCTTGTTTAACAAAATAACTTGAAGTCTTAGCTATGGATGAATGCTTAGTTTATACCTTTTTTTTCTTTCTTTAGGGTTTGACACCATATGAGAAAAAGAAATATGTTTGGAAAATGCTATACATATACATGCTTGGGTATGATGTGGATTTTGGTCATATGGAAGCCGTATCTCTAATATCTGCTCCAAAATATCCAGAAAAGCAGGTAATACTTTCCTTTTATGAAACTTTTCTACGGTGGTCTGCTGCTATCCTTACTAAATTCTGTTCATAGTTTTCTGAGGTTTCGTTTAAGTTCATTTGCATCTTTTCCTAGCGGGGGAAATATATGGGGCTAAAGAATCGAAGTCTAATTTCACTGTAATTCCTGCAGGTTGGGTACATTGTGACATCATGTTTACTCAACGAGAACCATGACTTTTTGAGGCTAGCAATAAATACTGTGCGCAATGATATTATTGGTCGCAATGAAACTTTTCAGTGCCTTGCATTGACTATGGTACGGTGATGGAAAAGTGTTGACCTTTTTTTAATTCCTGCTTTCTCATTTGCATTACATCATTTACCAATGTTGTCAGTGTTTCTCTAGGAATCTTATATAATTTATTGATGAGGAGACCTAGACAAAACTTGATGCATGTTGACGAATGTGCATTTAGATGCCTCGACATGAAATGCATGTATTTTACAGGCAATGACGTGTATTTCTAAATGTTGTTGTTCTTTCTTGTTTTTTCATGCCAGAGCATTTTTTGATCTCAAAACTTTGCATTTATTCACTTATTTTTCAAGGTTCCATCCAGTCACATGATATATAAGTTGTAGGGCTTATTTTAATATTTTATGCAAATCAGATTTCTTTGATTCTTTTCTTTTCATTGATATCATATTAAGGTGTCTACTATGCATTTATAACTATTCCCTTCTCAACCTTTGTGTTGCTGCCACCATGTTATATCTTCTATTATATAGGTTGGAAATATAGGTGGGAGAGAGTTTGCCGAGTCCTTAGCACCTGATGTACAGAAGTTGCTGGTAAGAAACAAAGCATTATTGAGCAAGTAACAGGATTTGACGATGATTGATGTTGACAGTATTCTCTGATCTAGATATCTAGCAGCTGCAGACCACTTGTGAGGAAAAAGGCTGCTCTGTGTCTACTACGCTTGTATAGGAAAAATCCAGATGTTGTTAATGTAGATGGATGGTAAATTAGAATCCCACTTTTCTGGTACTTGATGTTCCTCCATTGGTACTTACCTTCAAATGTATCTTAGTAGTTCCTTTTGATGTATATTTAAGGGCGGATCGGATGGCACAACTAATGGATGAACGAGATCTTGGAGTTTTGACATCTTCTATGAGTCTTCTTGTTGCATTAGTATCCAACAACCATGAAGCATATTGGAGTTGTCTTCCAAAGTGTGTCAAAGTTTTAGAGCGCCTTGCTAGGAACCAGGATGTTCCACAAGAATACACTTACTATGGTATCCCATCTCCCTGGCTTCAGGTTTGTAAACCTTACTCTTTTCCTAGTTTTTTCTTTTTCCATTGTTATTTATGAGAATAAAAGCATAGTTAAGTTGGCTTATTCTACCCATGTTGTTCCTTACAAATTATGCTTATTGAATTTTGTATGGTTGGCGGTTCAATCTAGACAAAATAGGAAGTAATCTTAGATGTCTTACATTTTCA